TCAAGAAAATTGGAGATATGAAGGGAACATTTAATGTAAAGATGGGCATGCTAAAAGACCAAAATGGCAGGGACCTAACAGAGGCAGAAGAGAGTAAGAAGAGATGGCAAGATTTCACAGAAGAACTAGACAAGAAAGAGCTTAACGTCCCTGATAACCACGATTGGGTAGTCACTGACCTTGAGCCAGACATCCTGGAATGTGAAGTCAAATGGGCCTTAGGAAGTCTGAGCAGCAACAAAGCTAGTGGAGGTGACAGTATTCCAGCTGGCTTGAAGACGATGCAGTAAAAGTGCTACACTCAATATGTCAGAAAATTTGGAAAACTCGACAGTGGCCACAGGATTGGAAAAGGTCAGTTTACATTCCAATTCCAAAGAAGGGCAATGCCAAAGAATGTTCAAACTACTGCACCGTTGCACTCATTTCACGTGCTAGCAAAGTTATGCTCAAAATCCTACAAGCTAGGCTCCAGCAGTATGTGGACCGAGAACTACCAGAAGTACAGGCAGGATTTCGAAGAGGGAGAGGAACTAGAGATCAGATTGCCAACATACGCTGGATCATGGAGAAAGCTAGGGATTCCAGAAAAACATCTACTTCTGCTTCATTGACTATGCTAAAGCCTTTGATTGTGTGGATCATAACAACTTGTGGCAAGTCCTTAAAGAGATGGGAGTACCAGACCATCTTATTTGTCTCCTGAGAAACCTATATGCGGGTCAAGAAGCAACAGTGAGAACTGGACATGGAACCACTGATTGGTTCAAAATTGAGAAAGGAGTTTGGCAAGGTTGTATACCATCGCCCTGCCTATTTAACTTATATGCAGAGGGGTTGGATGAATCACCAGTTGGAATTAAGATTGCTGGGAGAAATATCAACAACCTCAGATAGGCAGATGATACCACTCTCATGGCAGAAAGTGAAGAAGAACTAAAGAGCCTCTTGATGCTGGTGAAGGAGGAGAGCGTAAAAGTTGGCTTGAAACTCAACATTAAGAAAACTCAGATCATGGCATCTGGTCCTGTCACTTCCTGGCAAATAGATGGGGAAGAAATGGAGGTAGTGACAGATTTTATTTTCCTGGGCTCCAAGATCACCGCAGATGGGGACTGCAGCCAAGAAATTAAAAGACACTTGCTTCTTGGGAGGAAAGCTATGGGAAATCTAGACAGCATAGTAAAAAGCAGAGACATCACGCTGCCAACAAAAGTGCATATAGTCAAGGCTATGGTTTTCCCAGTTGCAATGTATGGATGTGAAAGTTGGACCATAAGGAAGGCTGAGTGCCAAAGAATTGAGGCCTTTGAATTGTGGTGCTGGAGGAGACTCCTGTGAGTCCCTTGGATTGCAAGGCGATCAAACCGGTCAGTCCTAGAGGAGATCAACCCCGACTGCTCTTTAGAATGCCAGATGCTGAAGATGAAACTTAAATACTCTGGCCACCAAATGAGAAGGAAGGACTCCCTGGAGAAGAGCCTAATGCTGGGAACAATAGTTGGCAAAAGAAGACGGGGATGGCAGAGAATGAAGTGGCTAGATGGAGTCACAAGTAGTCGGTGTGAGCTTAAGTGGTCTCCGGGGGATGGCGGAGGACAGGAAGGCCTGGAGGAATGTTGTCCATGGGGTCGCGATGGGTTGGACATGACTTTGTGACTAACAACAACAACATTGGCCATTCTCCAATCCTCTGTTTCTAGAGCTGATTTTAGGGGCATGTTAAATATTTTGGTAAGAAGGTCAGCAATTTCTGAGAACTTTAGGATACAGTTCCCTGGACTTAGTGACTGGTTTGTCAGTAAGATTGAGAATTTCATGCTGGGCTCATCATGAATTGTTTGACCCCTGACTCATACCAGGTAGTAATTTAAATATGCAACCCCTAATAGGGGGAATTGTTCTATTGTATGAACCTGGTCACTGTGCTTTATTTGAGGTTTAAACAATCTTTGCATAACCGTACTACAAACTTTAGCTCCATCCAGGTTTGGATATTTCATTTTTTTCTTCCTTCCTTGCCTCTGGTTGCACTGATTTCATTCCCACTCCTGTAGTCATGTGTGCGTGTGCACACACCCACACGCCATTTCAGAGTTAAATTGCAGGTACAGTCATTTGTTTTCTGCCTCTTCTTTTCCCCTCCTCCTGCTAGGATCTAAATTAGAATTGTCCCTTTCCCTCCAATCTGAGTCTGCTGTCCAAACAGAACAGTAAGGCTTGCACAGAAAATAAGGGCAGTGTGGGGGAAACAGTAGGAATGCAGAAGAAAAACATGGGCTGGCTGGCTAGCTTATATTCAGTGAAAGACCTGGATTGTGAAAATGCGGGTCTTTAGAGAGCTAAGTGGGAGGAAATAAACCCCTTCATTCTTACCGGAAGCCATAGAGGACTTTCAATTTTGTGACCTTCATATCTTGTAGCTGGTATTAGCTGGTATTTGCAGACTTTGGCATTCACAGTGACCTTTTGGGAATAGATACATGGAAAAGTATGATTTCTTATTAACATATTTTTTCCTGGATAAACACATAATTCAGCCTCTAGAGGATTGTGGAATCTTTTGCAGAGTTAACCCTGTGAAAACATGTTCAAGTTCATAATAGTTTGCAGAATAACAGCTAAATGCCAAATATCTTAACAGGTTTACAAACAAAAATACATTGTTTAAACCTAGATACTGGCAGAAGGTAGTGCATTTAATGGTCCCCTGCTAGGCCTATATGAGAAATCTGTTTGCGGGGTGGGAATCTATTGGATTTTCCGGGCTTGGTTCTCTGGTCAGCAGGAACTGAGTCCGAGTTCCTGCTGAGCACCCCCAGTACTTGTGAGATTCTTGCCAGGAATCGAACCCCATGCACTGCACAGTGTCCCTCTTCTAAATCACCTGCAGCAGCTGTTAGGGCTGTTGTACCTGATGCAGAAGGAGGTTGCTGGTTGCACCTTTCATTCCATGAGTGTTTGCAGACTTCCTCTTGACTCAGCTTGCTTTGTAAGACTGGGCTGGGCAGGACAGGAAGTCTGCAAATGCTAGAGGGACAGATTCCTCTAAGGTACGTTCCAACCCTATCTCCTACCTCTCACTTATATTTCACAGATAAAAATATAGGTTTAATCCATTACTTACTTGGAGGTTTTGCTCTGCTTACATGTCCTGATACATGCAGTAATGGTAGATAGCCATGGCAGAAAAATTGGCATACCAATCAAAATTGGATGTAGGTAAAAACCTGATTTTAAAATATAAAATACGGCATGATTTTATGGTATATACATATTGGATAGCTGTATTTGTGAAAGCCTCAGTATTTTTGAAGAGATAATTTGTTTTATGAGGACCCATACAGAGATCCCCGAAGCAACCATTGGATTTTACCAATAGTTTTGTCTGTAAGGTTAAGACAGGGGAGGGGAAACATTATATGTACCCCCCTCTAAAAGTCTGTAGATTTAAATTTAAAAAAATTTGCTCATCTTTGAATGTGGAAAATTAATATTCATATTAAAATATACTCTGTTAAAACCTGTCAGTCATTAGACGTAAAGTAGATGTTCTTAAGAGATTGCTTTAGATGTTAGCTAATCAGCATCAAAAGTGGAAGGCTACAAACTTCAATCAGTTAGTTGAAGGGCCTGATTCAGCCAAGTTGCCAGTTCAAATTAAAGGATAATACATAGTGAACTGAATACAACATCCAGTTGCAATTGCAGAATACACAAAAGTGAAAATAAGTAGATGTTCCCTTTTCTGTGGTTGTATTGGCTCCTTGAATAGACCAGTGGATGCTTCATGGTTCAGATTCCTTGACTGGACAAGCAATGCATCCATTCCTTTTGTCACACCAAGAACAAAAGACAACACCTCTTGCTATGGATATTTTAACATTCCTCTCTCTACCTAGTGCAGAGTCTGTCAGTTTGCACAGAGGCTGTAACACTGCTTTTCTTGGAGGTGCACCAAGGAGGGCAAAGTTGATTCAGTAAAGCAAGCAATTTCATTCGCATGCAAGCAACAGCCCTTATTTACTGGGAAAGGCATCTTCAGGGAAATTATCTTTGGTGCTCTTCCTGAAGGCCATAAAGTCCCAACAAGGATCCAAGAAATGATCCTGGCTTTTAGACACTGGGAAAGTTCACCATGCCACCCATTGAATCTTAATAACATCCTCACTATTCTTCTAGAAGAGCTCATGTAATACCGTTGGTGTGATCGATATTGCATTAAATTGAGAGATGGGCAATGCTGGAACTTGGGAATCTTGAACTGCCTAGCTATGTATGGCCACTCGAGACAAATGCCGTATTTCCATACCAAATCAGAAGAAGAAATAAGTTAGTTTTTCCCTTTGGTCTGTGTACAAATTTAGGAGGTTATTTTTCTCTAGTTTTAGAGAAAATAACCCTAACCCCAAAAGCCACCTTCATTTGGTTTTTAAACAGTTTAAAATTAATAATTTACAATCTACATAATAAATTAAAATCCTTAAGTACTTAACAGATATACAGCTATAACATCACAGCCATTCTTAACATGTCCCAACTGAAATTGAGGTAATTTCTTCATTCCCTGACAGGAGAGAGGACATCTCATATGACTAAGCCTGTCATATTTGGATGCGTTATGCTACCAGCGCCCCTTGATAAATGGAGGAAAAAACCCTGAGTTTGGAAATATAATTTGGTGGCTAAGTGAAGCTGTGAGAAGGAATAGTTTTGTTTGATCTAGACTATGTTGAAAGGAATAAAGTTTCCCACAAATGAACTGTTCTTTTTTCCCCAACCCACCCCCCATATTAGTTAGCCTGTCTTGTGACTTGTTTCCTGTTGAATAATGATGATGCTTTTCCTCTCTTTAAAACAATTCTGGGACAATTTAGGTTTATATTGATTTGACATTGTTCATTTAATTTAACCATAACTTCCAAATTGCACTGAATGATAAAAGAGTGAATTCTAAAAATGATTTTCTTATACAAGCACCTTTGTCATATAACTTGTAGAGTTCAGCTGCTCGGATGGACCATGAGACATCCAGTGTTATGAGTTCTAACAGTAGTTACTCTGTTCCTCGAAGATTGACAAGTCACCTGGGTACCAAGGTAACTGAAGATTTCCACAAGTTGGTAACAACACATTTTACATCAAATCACTTCTTTTTAATGGGTATTACTGGTCAGCATTTTAAACAAGTCTGCCCAAGCTTTTTCTGAGACTCTGTTTTCTGCTCAAGAAAATATAGGTGGGTACAAAAGGCAGGATTTTTCAAGTGGTGTCACCAAAACTGTGGCATGACCTTCCTCTGGAGATTATCTTTGTTTTTGACATTTCTTGAAGATTTTTAACAAGCTTTTAGTGTTTAATAGTTTACTACTTTTAGGGATTTTGACAGGTTTCTGCAATTTCTGTTAGGTTGATATACTTTTGATGCTGCTATTTTTAGAATGTAGTGCATTGTGTTTAATTGTATTTTATAACTTACACCCCTTTATGATATTTTAAAGATAGAAGTGAAGCTTTTTATATCTGTATTCAGATCAAGTTTTAAAATTACAGTAGCCATTTAATTAATAGCTTACATAGGAAAACTAAAATTTTTGACAATGCTGAACTTGAAAACATTTACTAAAAGAGCATGATGCTTGTTATATGGATATATAAAATTGAAAAATAAATTCTAAGTATGGTATTCAGTGAAATGCATCCATCTATTATTAATGTTGAGCTGAAATGTTATGTGTAATAACATTTGATATTTGTAATAATATTCTGGTATTTGTGTACATAAAGCTATTATAGGCATGCTGAGTGCGCCATAGGTTGTTTCCTCCCTTCATCTACTCTCTTCTGGAGTGTGAATCCATACTGTTACCACTGGCAAACATTGCTGTAGCTGAGAGTTAAGTTGGAATTGATCTTAATCCAAGTTAGGCTCACCAGAATTCCCTCATACCCCAGATTCTGCAACTATGTATCCAGTGGGGCAAAGACACTGATGTATTGTGCTAGCCTAAATCTCTTCAGTACAGTGTTATTAGCTGGCACACCAGTATCCTGAGGAAATATATTTAAGAGAGAATTTGAGATAAGGAAGCCCTTTTCATTAAAGAGTAATCCATTTACCCTCCAAGAACCCTATGAGGTACTTTAGGCTGAGAGTTTGTGACTGACTCAGAGTTACATCAGTCTGGATGTCACTGAGCTTCATGGTCAAGCAGGAACAGAACCTGGATCTCTCAGGTCTTGAATCCAACCATACCACACTGGCTCTCTATCTGATCTATCTGTATGTTATCTGGTTAAACATTGACAATATAAAAACATGTAATATGGTAAAATTGTTTGCCTTTCAGGTTGAAATGGTATATTCGTTGTTGTCGATGTTGGGTACTCATGATAAAGATGACATGTCACGGACTTTGCTAGCCATGTCTAGCTCCCAGGATAGCTGCATAGCCATGCGTCAGTCTGGATGTCTTCCTCTCCTCATCCAACTTCTACATGGCAACGATAAAGACTCTGTTTTGTTGGGAAACTCCCGAGGCAGTAAAGAAGCCCGTGCCAGAGCCAGTGCAGCACTGCATAATATCATTCATTCCCAGCCTGATGATAAGCGAGGCAGGCGAGAAATACGTGTCCTCCATCTTTTAGAACAAATCCGAGCTTACTGTGAAACATGTTGGGAATGGCAAGAAGCACATGATCAGGGCATGGACCAGGACAAAAATCCAAGTATGTTGGTCAAAATGCTTTAAAATATTACCAGTAGGTTCAAAACCAGTGTGCAGGGCTCTTTAATGTCTCAGTGTTAAGTTCTAGTGTTTTGTTGGACAAATTGGTACAAGCAAGCTAAATTAAGAGATGAAACCTACAATTTGAGCTAGGCAAATCTTTTTATTTCAGTCAGTATTACTTTTGCACATTTTTACCACAACCCACCTATGTTTCTGCATTAATTTGAGCTTTTAATAGCCCTCAGATATGTATTTTAATTTTGATAAATACGGTGGTACCTTGGCTCACGAATGGTATCCATTCCACGACTCTGGTTGTGACCCAAATTGGTTGTGACCCAAGTCAAATTTCCCCATAAGATTCAATGTAAATAAGGTTAATCCGTTCTGGCCCCTCCAAATGTGGTTGTAAGCCAATTTTTGGTCACGAGCCAAGTCAAATTTCCCCATAAGGTTCAATATAAATAAGGTTAATCTGTTCTGCAACTATTTTTTTTTTTAATCAGAAATTTTGAAACAAAGTGACAACAACGAGAGGGTAAGTACTTGGAGGAGGGCTTTCTCTGCGGTGGCGCCCAATCTATGGAATGCGCTCCCCAGAGAGGTCTGCCTGGCGCTGTCGTCGTTTTTCGGCGCCAGGTGAAGACCTTTTTATTCAAGTATCATTTTAACTGTTAATAGTATTTAATTATTTTATTCTTTGGCCAGGGCGACTTATTTTATATTGTTAATTTATAGCATTTTAATTGATTTATGTTGTGAGCTGCCCCGAGGCTTCGGCGAATGGGGCGGCATAGAAATTTTCTAAATAAATAAACAAAGTAACAAAGTACTGTACAGTGCAGTGGAGAACACTAACCTAGCTGGGGGCAGAGGTTATTGTTTTGAGGGAGAGTTCCCCACCATAAGGACATTGGGGAGATCTCTTTCAGGGATTTCCTCTCTTTGCCTCTTAACTGCAGGGTCAATGTTGGTGAAAAATCTGTCTATAGTCACTTGTTTTTTCCTGCCCTGCATAACCCTCCAGAAATGAGAGACAACATTATTGTTCATCAGATTCAACACTCGGTTCATTACATTTATGTTGGGGTGGTGCTTCTCAAAGAAACCCTTTCATGGGTGTGCTCCTGCAGGAAAGATGGGCACAAGCTTGGCCATCTCTCTCCCCCCCCCCCCCCCCCCCAGCACGATCATGGCCATCTCCCCCCCCCCCCAAGTGGGGAGATGGCCAGGATCAGAGTTGCATTCGTGCAGGGAAGACATGCGTGATCACAGGTGCGCTCCTGCAGGAAAGAAGGGCACAGCACAGCCGTGATCACGCATGTGTTCCCTGCACGAACTCAACTGCCATCGTGGCCATCTCCCTACTCGGGGGTGGGGGGAAGATGGCTACAATCTTGGTCGCCACCCAAAGCGGAGTTTGTGACCCAAGTCAAAATTTTGATGACATTCATTTCTGTTCGTGACTCAAGGCGTTTGTGAGCCAAAGTACCACTGCAGACATTTTCAAGATCTATGGCACAATATTGGAAAAACGGGAAATCCAGTAGAAAGCTCTATTCTTTCTGCATGTTTATTTGAGACATGTAGATCAGGTCATCTTCTGGAAATAATATGTTTGAGATAGGAGAAAGAAGTAATGTGTTAGAAGGTACATGCACAATTTCTAATCAATTCAGTGTGGTATTACTTATGAAATGTGAATTTATACAGAACATTTTTTGTCTCATTGAAGCAAGAATGTTCCACTAACTTGAATACCTAACCCTCAGCCATTTATGTAGCATGTATAGTATTTGTATACCACATTTTTTGTCAGAATTGGCTTCTAAAATTTTTAACAATAAAAAGTAAAATAATTCACTATATTGGTATACAAAATTTAAATAAAATGACTAAACAAAGCCTTAAGCTAATGTTGAAAAGACAATTCTGAAGTTATCTTACGAGCCTTGCCAGGAATGCAGAGTGTAAATAAGGAGAGAAAAAACACTTTTGGTCTAGGGCTAGGTTCCTCCCTGTTCTCTCTGATAGCTGGAGGTGAGGTCATCACCTCCCATGCTGTCATCTGCCATACTCACTTTTAATTTCCCCTGCTCCTCCAAAGAAATTCTGTGCCTTTCTTTGCAGGAGACACTTTTTCTTTGCACTAGCGGTCCCACTGTGTCTTCCAGTGCCACACATACCTTGATCAAGGCATGAGTAGCATGGGAAGAGATTTGGTAAAGACTTGCCAGACCTGCTTCTGCCTGGCTGAATGGAGCAAGAGAATTCCTGTGTTATCTTTGATCAGAAATAATAAAAGGATTTCACTTTGTATCACGTGATGTCTGATTGGGAGGATGAACCACACAAAAGGGAAACCCTTTGTTATCTCCAATCAGAAATATCATGGGATTCCTCTCCAAGGAGCTTGAAGAGAGACGATTCCTCCACAGACTGGAACATGTCCTCCCTTGGCATGGAAACATGGAAGTTTCAGATAACTTCCTGTCCATTCTTCAGTCATCTGAATCTCCCTGGTTATCAGTAAATAGGGTACAATTTTGCTCTCAGAATTTATTGGTCAAGGAGGAACTTAAGGGTAAAGATTTATCTCAGAAACACTGAATGCTTTAGGGCTTTAGTTATGATGCCAACACCTTAAAAGTATCAGTTTAACATTTAGGAGTTAGAGGATCACATTACCAAGAGTGAAATATCGGCCACCCCACTTTTAGTGCATTTGCTCAATTTGCCTTTTTACTCCATTTTTCTTTACAACTGTGTATCCATTAGCCTGCATGCAGCCTTAGCCTGCTAAGATTTCACCATGGCTTCTTGTGTTCTGGGAGCCTACCTAAGGAAATTGACCAGAAGACTCCATATTTCAGATAACCATACATGCTGTCTTGTGAAGAACCAACCAAGAAAAATTATGACCCCATCTGTACAATTTTGAGGCACCATTTTTTTAAGGTGGCAAGCAAGTAACAGTCTTTCCAAAGTCCCATTTCAACATTGGTAGAAGGGCAAGGGAGGCTAGAAGAAGGGGACAGGCTTTTTTTCTGACTGTAGTCAAGTGGCTGTGTAATCATTCCAAGCTACCCCCTGATAAAGTCACTCTTCCAGGTTTAAATGTCATGACAACTTTAAAACCAAGTCATGGTTTCAGGGTTAAAATGAATCCACCTTTAGAAAATGGACTAGGTTCACATGGCAGGGGAATCCACCATGGTTGGCTGCCCAATGGTTGTGCAAACCCAGTCATTGAATTCAGATATTCACTGCCTCTTCAGATTTCTAATTTCTGCAGAAGGTCCTTTAAATTCAGATCATATTAGTGGCATCTTCTGAGCAAATGGGTGAAAGATAGCTGTTCATTATGCTAGATCATAGGTCCTCAAACTACAGCCCGCGGGATGGATCCGGCCCATGCTGCCGTTCGCTGCCTGCGCTCACCATGTGCGAGAGGCAGTGGCTTGTTCGCTCGTAGATGGTTTTGAACTCATTGGGAGATCTCCCAATGAGTT